TTATCATAATTCATTAACCATTGATTAAATTAATTGTTCTCCAAAGTTAATTATTTTTTAGTTTAAATTTTAATTTTTGACTTAACATAATTCTTTGATTTAACTATTTGTTTTTAAGATTATAAACAGTTTATATATATATACAAAAATTAAAATACGAGTGAGAATGATGAGTAACGTATAAAGTAAAAGGAAAAACATATATATGTAAACATAAAAATTATCAAGACAATCAATTATTAAATCAAATGAATTACTATCGAAAAATTATGAAAAGTAATAAAAAAATATAATAATTAAAATTAGATTTTAAAAAATAATATTATTATCTATACTATATATAAAAGTGGAAATGAGAGGGGAATAATGGGGATTACCAATAAATCACCCTTAATGAAATTTGGAAATATTCTCAAAATAACTTTAGTCATAGTCCCAATTAAAAAATTAATATTTAATTATATTTTATTAGTTGATTGAATATAATTTATAAAAAATATTATTTAAATAAACACATATAGAGAATTAAGAATTTCAAAATTTTAAGTTTTATGTTTTTAAAATTTATCTTTTAATAAATATATATGATAACATTTGAAAATTTATATGTTTTATTTTTTAAATATTTTTATTTAATTTTGTTATAATTTAAAATATTTTATATAGGAAAGAGATAAAAGAGAAAAAAGTATATTATTTTTTATGTTTATATAATTTGTTGGATATATTTTGTAAAAAATAAAATTTTAAATAAAATATACGTAATATTTTATTTAACATCAAAATTTTAATTTTTATCTTTTTTAAAAACATCAAAAAATTTTAAAATTTTATCTTTTTTAATTTATCTTTTAATAATCTAATATGGTAATAAGACATTTTAAAATTTTTATATTTTATAATATAATATTTTGATTTTATTTTGATTATAATTTAAAAAATATTTTATTTAGGAGAGAGATAAAAAGAGAAAAATTATATTCTTTTTTTTCTTTATGTTTGTATAATTTGTTGGATATATTTTGTAAAAATAAAATTTAAATAGAATATACATAATATTTTATTTAGGAGAGAGAAGAAAAATAAAAAACTATATTCCTTTTTGTTTGTATGGTTATAGAAAAAATTGAGGGTTTATTTAGAGAGGGTAAAATGTTTCTTTTATGTAATCTTTTTTTATTAATCAACATCCAATATAGTTCATTTTTCACTACAGTCTCAGCAACATTTTTTTGTAAAAAAAAAAAAAAAATTAGAGTTGTCCATAAATAATTAAGAATTTCAAAATTTTAAGTTTTATCTTTTTTAAATTTATTTTTTCAATAAATATATATGATAATGAGATATTTTAAAATTTGAGATATTTAAAATTTAATATAATTATTTTTTAAATATTTGATTTTAATTTTGATTATAATTTAAAATAATTTATTTAAGGAGGTAGATAAAAAAGAAAAAAGTAATATTACCCTTTTTCCTTAGTATTTTTTTCCTTTATGTTTATATGATATTGGATATATTTTTAAAAAATAAATTTTTCAGATAGAATATATATAATATTTTATTTAGGAGAGAGATAAAAAAGAAAAAAAAATATTTTTTTGTATGGTTGTAGGAAAAATTGAGGGTTTATTTGGAGAGGATAGAACATTCCTTTTGCCTAATTTTTTTATTAATTAATTAACTTATTTATTTATTTTAAATTTACAACTTAGAACAACAGAAAAACAAAATATTTCAATAAACTCATTAATTGACCAATCTTAAATCTTAACATGATTTGCTTTGTAATTTTCATTTATTGAATTGGCTTTAGTCCTTTTTTATCCATCAATTTTAAATTTCATTAAATTGTGACCTTTTCAGTTGAAGGTATTAATATTATTTGTTTCTTATTATAAGTTGAATTTTGGAAAGAACTTTATTCTTAATAATAATTTTTATTATTATTGTTACTAAATTAATTTTTAATAATTATCACTTTAATTTAGTAAGAGATTTATATCTCCCTTAAAATAAATAAATGGTCTCTTGATGATAAAAGATTTTTAATTTTTTAATTCTTTTGTCTCTTATATTCTAAATCTATTTGATTTGGAAAAAAAAATGTTTATAAAAGTGAAAAAAATGATAACTATATATTTATGTTTTGATTCACTTTTTGAAATTTCAAGAATTTATATCTGTCCATATATTCCTTTTTCTGATGTACTAGATAAGTAATATTGTCATTATAGTCAAAGTGATTACATTATCAATTCAGAATATCTTCTCATTTCTTTTTTAATATTGATTTGGGATTGAGAGGGAGGGGGGATTGGAGATTGAGTAATGACTTGATTTTCTTTTTGGTACCGATTAGGGTTTTAAGAATCTGCATTTATAAATTGTACCCGATTAGGGTTTTTAAAGAATCTGCATTTATAAATTAGGAAACTGAAGGATTAAGTTATAGATTTTAGTTTGAAATTATTTTGAGAACACTTTAATTATATAAAAATAAATTCAGTACATAAGAAATAACATTAAAAAAATTAAAAGAGTGTAAAAAATAAGTATATAACGAGTATAATCAATGTGCATGCACGTCATAAAAAAAAGACAGTATCCAATAAAGAAAAGTGATACATATTTAGCTATATATACCACGGATTTAAAATAATTTTGTTACAATAAGAATAAGTGTATGCATCATTTGCCCACATGGAAAATGCCAAGTGAAATTGACAGTTACAATGCTTGTAGTAAAAAATTAGATATTATTGCAGCACTTTGTGGAAACCAAATGTTGTCACATGGAATTGAGAAAACACACGCAAACAAATTCACCCCTTCTAAAATATTTAAAACTAACCACATGTTTGTGCTATGCATAAATAATTTATAAATATTATTTTTTTAATCTTTAAATTTAAATTTTATATTTCATTTTTTATTAAAATATTTTTTAATATTTATATAATTTTTAATAGACAGATAATTTTGAATTTACAATATTCAAGTTTAATTTAACAAATATAGCCAAAAATTTTATAAATTGTAATTATGATATTAAACCTTTTTTTTTAAAAAAAAATATGATAATAACGTTATAAAATAAAAAAAAATATGATAATAACGTTATAGAAAAAATATTATATTTAATTATTTAATATCGTCAAATAAAATTTATAATCTGTAAAATGAATATTTCATTTAGTGGAGAAAATTTTATTGTTGCTAATTATTAAATTTTATTGTGCTAATTATTTATTTAATCAAATGATTATTATTTGATTATGATTATTATTATGCTGTAAAAATTTATGCTAATTATGTTTATTATTATTTTTTACTATATTATTGATTATTCTGTAAGAATTTATTGAATTTAAAATTTTAAATAATTATATTGATTATTTTTTATTAAATTTAAAAATTTATATCTTAAAATAACATAATAGACTAAATTTATATTTACAGTTGAAAAATATGAAATTACAAAATCCCAAATTGAATTTTCATAAAGTAGAATGGAATGCAATTTTAAATTTTAAAAAATATTTGAAACAGAACATAATGATAAATGTGTATCTCCTAAAACGTGCTAAACGAGGTTTTTCGTCTAGCAATTAAATCTTTGAATTATTTTAGAAGATTAGATTTGGATAGAGGAAGTTTTCTCCGTCAATCAATTCCATTGTGTTAGATGATAAGCGTGCTTTGACTTAATGAAATCTAAAATGTTTATTTAAAAAAAAAAAAAAACGTGTATCTCTCACACCATTAATTTTGAGACATTTGTAATATCTCATCTTGTGTGTTTCCACTAAAACGACAGATATAGATGACGTGAATGTCAGTAGGAGAAAGGCACAATACTTGAATATGATAGGACATCCGTTAAAGCAATGTTTGTTATTTCTCATAATGTAACCATATAATTGAGCAAAACTTCTCAAATCTCATAATGTAACCATATAATTGAGCAAAACTTCTCAAACGATTCATTCCAAGCATTGGGTATATTTTTACAATTATTGTTGGGCCATAATAATCTTAAGCTAATCTATTTAATTATAAAATATACTAGTATTAGAATCCGCAAAATGTATATTCTTAAATATCATACGAAGTATTTTACTAAAGTATACAATGGCAAAAGTCATACATAATATGATATAAGTGTGTCAAAATGGGTTGACATGTTAGGTTCAACACGGATTCGCCTAACATGCGACACGATTAGGGTCAATACGAACACAACTAATTTTATGATCGTGTTAAATTTATGAACACAAACACAATATGAAAATTAGGCAAGTGACACGAACACAACACGTTTAACCTGCTGAATATCATAAACAGTTTAAATGAGTCGGTGAACCTGCTGAATATCATAATCAGTTTAAAATGAGTCGTGTTGACACCATTAATGCACCGTAATAACCCACTTAAAAAATAAATTCAGTACTAAGATAATTTTGAGGTAGGTTGAGAGAACGGTTAGAGTGTAAAAATGAAGTATTACATAGAGAATTTTATTAATCAGTACGATATATATCATGGAAAGGAATATGTGATATAACTGTAAACTTCTCTAGTCCATCCATACTGTAATTAATAGAATGTAAAGAAATGATACATCTACAGTACGGAGGACAGGTTCTGTAGAGCGGCGTGTTGTATTAGTGTCTTTCACTCTGTAATTTTTTCTTTACCATACAAACACAGGGTCCCTTGTGATAAGGTTTACTCATAAAATTGGTGGACTGAGAAGGTACAGTTAGCCAGGTCTTTATCCGACATTGTTACATATTATAATGTGAGTTGCTGCTAGTCGGTGTTTGTACATTTTACAAATTTAAAAGCAAAAATATAGTTAGTTCTTGGTTGTTTCTATAAAAAGAATGTGGTGCCAACACAGTTAGATATAAAGTTTGAAGAGATATTTTTTATGTAAGTATTTTGGTCTTGCAAAAAGTATATAACGAATCCACCAAAAAAAAAAAAAAAAAAAAAAAGCGTTATATAAGGACTTGATGCTCATCAAGGAATTCATCTAAGTTGGTGCCTTGGAGGTCGAAATGGTTTGTCATTTATTTGTGTCATTTCCTACGTTCACTTTCACTAAACCGCCACGTAGAGCTCAGTTCGTTCTTGGATTAAGGGAAAATTGCAGTTTTAGTGGCAAAGTTAGATGTATTGCTGCTCAAACCAATGCTAATGAAAATATTGTGAGACGATCTGCAAATTACCAACCTCCCATTTGGGATTATGATTTTGTGCAATCACTCACTAGTGAATTTAAGGTATATATATAGCTATTCGTTTGTTCCTTTTTTTTTTTTTTTTTTTTTTTTTTTTTTTTTTTTTTTTTTTTTTTTTCTCTTTCCTGAAAATAAAAAAGGTTAAGATTTTGATTCTCCTTTTCCTTTCAGTTTCGTTTGAATATTTCTGATTTTTGTAATGCAGGGAGAGGTGTAATGAAAACGGATTAAACAAGCCTGAAGAAGACGTGAGGTTATGCTTAACCAACCCATCATACTTTTGAATCAACCGAATTAATTGACACCTTGCAGAGACTCGAAATAGGTTATCACTTTGAAGATGAAATAGAGAGACAATTAGATGGGTATTTCAATACTTTGAATCAACTCGAATTAATTGACACCTTGCAGAGACTCGGAATAGGTTATCACTTTGAAGATGAAATAGAGAGACAATTGATGGGTATTTACAGTAAACGAACTGGCGTCGCAGGGACAGAGGATATACATGCTATAGCTCTTGAGTTTAGACTTCTAAGGCAACATGGCTACAGCATATCTCAAGGTAGAGAACCAAATACATTTATTACATTAAAAGTATAACAAATGTCTTTGAAATGTCCGAAAAACACCATATCCATAAATATTTTATGAGAACACATTTTAATACTTTCTAAGAATTTGTTAAAAAATGACCATCTTTTGTATACTTGTTGGATTACAAATTAATAGCACAAGTGTTAATATTTATTAATACTAGTGTTTTGAGAACCAGACCGGTCAGTGAATCAGTGAAGGTAAGAGTTCACTGAATCAGAGGGTTCAATACTATTCAACTGGATTTTTATATATAATATTTTTAAATATATTTATTAAATAAAATTGAAAGCAAAGGAAAAAAAAACTTTGATATCAAATAAAAAAAAAACATTCTCAAATTTGGCTTTAAAAAAAGTATTAAAAAATTAGTAAATAATTTTAAAAGGAATAAAATATGAATAATTTAATACTAAAAAAATCAATTAACTACAATAAAATATAATATTAACTTTAACATTTGCCTTTAAAGTTTGGAAATTTAATTTTTTTAATTAATATAATAGGACTTTGCATTTAGAAATAAAGAGGTTCAAAACTAATAAATCAGTGGCCTAAATTTAAAAAACGCCCACAATTGGAGAAAAAAACACAAATTTTGAAGCAAACCGATTTTTAACAGGCCCGATTCACCGGTTTCTGATCGGTTTTCATCCAGGTTTTACAGATTTAGGCCGATTTTTAAAGGTGCCCATTTTCCTATATAACCCGGACTAGACACTGTCTGATTCCTGGTTAAACCGGACAAACCAGCCATTCCGCTCCGGTTTTCAAAACCATGATTGATACTTTCTAATAATTTATAAAAAATGATTGTCCTTTATAGAATGACTGAACTAAAAAATAATAGCTCTGTTTTTCTATTTTATACTATTTTCATTAAAAATTTTTTACGATATATAATATATTTGTTCATTTAACCTTACTACTTTTATATTTATATGATTGCAATATGATGGATTTTATATAATGAACTGCATACATAAACAAATTCATCATATAAAAAGATAAAATATATTTTCTTTCCCTCAAGAAAAATTCATGGCTCCGTCACTCCATGCAACCACCTTTTTCTCAGTACAATTACTTTTTATTTCATGTTTTTAAACATGGGAAATAATTTTTGTGAATAAATAAATAGGTAAAAGATTTATGCGAGATTATTGGTTCTTTGATGTTGTTATTAACTAACCTCATCACTCATTTCCAAAAAAAATAAAAAAATAACTTCATCACTTTCTTTTTGAGAAAGGAAAGCTCAAAGAGAGCAAGTGGTTTGCTTATACAAAGCATAGCACCAATCTGTACCTTTAATTTCAATTTTAAAAAAATAAAAAAAAATTGCATGAATTAATAATTCGCTATGTAAAAAAACCAACCTACAGAGGTCCATCAGTGTATCTACCGGCCCACCAGATTTTGTAAGAATAATGTTAAGATAAGTACGTAGGTCAGTAAAGAAAAGGCTAAAGTAATATTTCCACATGTACCATAACCCTTTCGTTGTACCACCAAAATAATAATAATTTTATTGGAGGCATTGTTTTTGTTTGTTTAATGTGGATTGCAGATGTCTTCAGTAATTTCCAAGATGAGATGGGAAACTTCAAAACGTGCCTTGGCGAGAACTTAGAGGGAATGCTTTCTCTGTATGAAGCATCATTCCTTGAAGAAGAAGGTGAGAGTATCTTGCAAGTTGCAAGAGATTTTACTACAGGTTATCTCAACGGGTACATTAAACGAAACAAGAATGACAAATATACATCCATGTTAATAACCCATGCACTGGAAATGCCATTGCATTGGAGGATGCCAAGGTTGGAGACTAGGTGGTTCATAGATATATATGCGAGAAAACAAGGCATGGATTCTCTTCTGCTAGAGCTTGCTATGTTGGATTTCAATTATGTCCAGGCAATACACCAAGAGGATCTGAAGTACTCATCAAGGTATTTATGCTTGTTTCTGCGTTTCTTTTCTATATTAATTTGATCAAATAGAAGACTGAACTTCAAATCTCTAAACCTGATTAAATATTTGCCACCTCAAAATTGTGCATAATAGAGCATCTTTCAAAAGAATAAAAAGAAGGGAAATTAACACCTTCCCATTTATATATAGATGGTGGATGAATACAGGTCTTGCAGAAAAGTTAAGCTTCGCAAGAGATAGGATAATGGAGAATTTCCTATGGACAATAGGAATGATATTTGAACCACAATTTGGATATTATAGAAGAATGACTGCAAAGCTTTTTGCACTAGCAACAACAATTGATGATATCTATGATGTGTATGGCACCTTGGATGAACTTGAATTATTCACCGATGCTGTCAAAAGGTTCGTAGTGGCATTCCAACATCTAATATGAGCGTCTTATATATATCTAGACAATATAATACATTAATATATTTTCGTAGTATATATCAAAATTGAAAGTCAATTGAAAAACAAGTAATAGGTCTTTGGGCTTCATCATGATGATTGTTTTCTTTAACAATGCATTTGTCTTCAATTAGGATTTCAAACTTCTAAGAAAATTATATATCACTCAGTCAAAACTCAACCGAATGCATAATTTAACTCCTGAAATTTAACAAAAATCTTTTGTGGGATCTACACTTTAAAATCAATCTTGTGGCACCTTAAACTTCATTTTTTGTAACAATCTCACACCTTATCACGCTAGCAACCACTGTACTTTAGGTTTTTATACTTTATCTGTAAAATATTGATTTGATATGTGGTTAATACATATTTTGAAAATATAATTTTTATATTTCTCAACTATTTAAAAACTGTTTAATTGATCTAATTTTATAAGTTGAGGTGTCTAATAAGTCAATTAAAGTATTTAATAGATACAATTTTATGAGTTGAAATATCCAATATATTAAAGTGAAAATTAAAAGTGCCACAAGATTTTTCGTGAGAAGTACATGGGTAAATTTATGTATTGAGGCATCAAAACTCATTACTATTTAGAGTTGTCCTCTCAAAGACATTTTAAACATAAGTATTCATATAGGCTTTAGGGGTTATTATATTTGTTGCCACTGAATTTTACCTTTTTTAGACATACACATATATATAAGCTGAATACATAAATTCATCCCTAAACTTTCTTAATTCACCTTGTGGCATTCTCAACTTTTACTTTGACTCATTAAATACTTCAACTTATAAAATTATATCTACTAAACACTTTAATTTTTAAAATTATTTTATTGAACATTTCAATTTGCAAAATTAGATTAATTAAGCATTCATAAAAAAGTTGAACTTTATAAAAATTATTGTTCCAAGATTTATGCTAACTACATATCAAATCGATATTTTTACACATAATTCTAAAAACCCTAAAAATATTGATATTAGTGTCGAAAAGTGTGTAATATTATCAAAATTTACAAATTCAAGTGCACAATAGGTCATCTTCAAAGTTTAGGGTGTCACAAGATTAAAGTTGTAAAGTTAAGGGATAAATTATGTATTCGGCCCATATATATAGGAAACCAAAGTTTAATTAGTTGGCTCAAAGTAAGAATTCATTTATCTATATCTTATTGCTTTATATTTAGATGGGATGTCAATGCAATGGAGCAGCTTCCAGACTACATGAAGATATGTTTCTTAGCTCTTCATAACTCAATAAATGAAATAGCTTTTGATACCCTCAAAGAACAAGGGTTAAACATCATTCCTTACTTGAAGAAATCCGTATGTGTTAATATTGTTGTTAAATCATTCCTAATTACACTTGTTTTTCATGTACACTAATATAACAATTCTATCGTTTTTATATTTTCTAGTGGGCAGATTTATGTAAAGCTTTCTTGTTAGAAGCCAAGTGGTACAACGACGGATATACACCGACTTTAGAAGAATATATTGATAATGCATTAATCTCTATAGCAGGTCCTTTGTTGTTAGTCCACGGTTATTTTCTTTTAAAAAATCCAGTAACAATTGATGCCTTGAAAGTCTTGAAGGAATATTCCAATATAATTCGATCATCGGCCATAATCTTCAGACTTGCAGATGATCTTGCAACATCCTCGGTATGCAAACTAACTAGTTTATGCAAATCCTCTTCCCTTGTCCTTTTCATTTTCTTTCTCGATTTTTTTCATCTTTCTCTTTTCATTATTTATAATTAGGATGAAATAAAAAGAGGCGATGTTCCAAAATCAATTCAATGTTACATGCATGAAACTGGAGCATCAGAAGTAAGAGCTCGTGAGCACATTCAATATTTAATTAGCCAAACATGGAGAAATATGAATAAAGAGCGAGTTGTTGATTCTCCATTTTCAAAACCTTTTGTTGGCCTAGCAAATAACCTAACTAGGATGGCACAATGCATGTACCAATATGGAGATGGGCATGGAATTGAAGATCAAGAAACTAAGGATCGCGTTTTATCATTACTCATTCAACCTGTTGTTGGCATGAGCCATGGTTTGTAATTAAAAAAAATATCGAAAATTCATATTTTGATGATGTCTATTTATAAACATAGTCATGAATTCGCACTATAAAGGAATTATAATTCCTCGATTGTATTGTTACTGTAGTATGTGAATAGTTATAGCTTATATACTTGTGAAGTAAAGGCATAGATACAAGAGATTAAGCTAACAAAAATACAACAAATGAGGAACATAAATAGCTTAGTTACAATAGAGAATATATTGCAGTTATAACTATCCCAGCATCCTCGCAAAATGCAGCATGTCAATCATTTATTAAAGGACCTTGAGAAATGAAAGCTTGCTTAACTGAAGACAACTTGGAAGAAGGACGACAGTGTTGTGGGGTCCCTCCAACATGTGGGACCCACACACATTTGAAAAGAAAAAAAAGAAAGAAGAGATTCAAACGTGTGGGACCCACACACTTGCTTAACTGAAGACAAACTTGGAAGAAGGACGAACAGTGTTGTGGGTCCCTCCAACCATGTGGGACCCACACACATTTGAAAAGAAAAAAGAAGAAAGAAGATTCAAAACGGTGGTGGGACCCGCACACACGTTTGAATTGAAAGAAAAATTATATATATATATATATATAATATATATATATATATATAGACACGTTTATTTTTTTTTTCAATGGATGGTGCCAAAGAAAGAAAGAAAAAAAAAGGGAAAATATCACGCGTCCACTGCGTCCCCTTCTCCTATAAAAAGGAGAAGGATTTTCACTTCAAAGCGTACAAAAACAAAAGCATAGAAATACATAGAGTGCATAAAATTTTAGGAAAGGGTTCCTAAAATTGGGAAAAAGATAAAATAGTGAGGATTGTAATTTTGGGGTGTTTTTGTTAAACACTTAGAGTACCACTATTTTTGTAATCTCTTTTGTACCTACTATTTTTAGTAGTATTTTTAGTAAGAAGAAAATTAATTCGGAAGTTTTTTTTTGTCCTGTGGGGACGTATGCCCCATAAACAAAGTTGAAGGTGAACCACGTTAAATCTTCGGTGTTCTTATTTTTTTCATCTGGCATTTACGGTATTATTTAAATTTTTACCGTGATTATTAATTTCTAAGTGGAGTTCGATCGCAATATTCAAACATTTTTAATTATTGGAAGAGTAATATGTGGTAAATAGTAATTTTTATTTTACTTTACACCGGGTATTTTTCCGCAGGCCCCACTCAGGATCAAGTTTATAATCCCCAACAACTGGTTAATCAAGAGCCTTTTGGTTGTAAATTCCTGTCAAATTTTACTATTCACATGAATAGTGGGAATTTCGTTGAAATAGTGAAATTTTGTCAGATTCAGAATTCAACATGGCTAACGACGGGGAATGATCAAATTGACGGATTTCGAAATTAAATTCAATGTGGAAAATCCCAGAATGGAGGACTACCTCAATTGCAAAAGAATCTGTATGATCCAATTGAAAGTGAACAGTGCAAAGCCGGAAGAAATGAAAAGAAAGGCAATGGTGAGAAATTAAAAAGTAGACATTGGGTACAATATGCCAATGGATAGGATGCCTAGCCTGTACAACCATGTGAAAGAAATTGAAAAAATATCCCCAAGTTCGGACGTTTTAGTTTTCGACTGTAGTTGAGTTTCCTGGAAGAAATTTAGAGAATAATGTACGAGGCTACGAAATGCTCAAGGGAAAAGTTTTCAATGATGTGTAAAGCATCGAAGCTTGAAAGCTGTCAGAGGGACGTCAAATTACACAACACCTGAACGATTTTGAAGGAGCTCGAACTGAGTTAGGCAGTTAGGCGGTATGTCCTTAAGAAAGACGAGATGCAAGCATGCCTAACTGTTGGGATCTCTACCGATAGCTGGGATAACTCTTGTGGTTATCATTGAGTAACTCAGCTCCAAATGGTGTGGTAACGATGTCTTCCAAATGGTGTGGTAACGATGTCTATGGTAAAGAATAGACTACTTAATGAAGAACTAAGAAGAAGAGATGTTGCCAGTACCAGTTCTCAAGCCCTTGTAACAGAGAATAGGGGCCGGAGCAAGAGTAGAGGTCCAAGGCATGTAAAGTCAGGTGGTAGATCCAAGTCCAGAGGGATGAGAAAATGTTACCATTGTGGTAAGGAGGGTAATCTCAAAAGAAATTGTCGTTTACTCAAACAGGATAATGCAGACCGAAGATAGGAAAATGACAGAAATACATCTGCTACAGTCTCAAGAGAAGATGGTGAGGTGACTTTAGTCACTCATGAATGCAGATTGCTGTCATGTTGGAGATGCAGATACCAAGTGGATAGTAGACTCCGGTGCTTCATATCACTGTGTTCCAAAAAAAAAAAAAATTTCCACTTATAAAGTAGGAGACTTTGGCACTATTAAAATTGGAAATAATAGTGTCTTGCAAGTGGTGAGAATCGGTGATATCTGCATAAAGACAAGTGTCGGGTGCACATTAACAGTTAAAAATGTGAGACATATTTCCAATCTTCGGTTGAACCTGTTATCTGTGAGCGTACTGGACAAGGAAGGCTATCACCATCATACAGGTGGCGATAACTTGAAACTCACCAAAGGATCTTTGGTGGTGGGGAGAGGAAAATTATGTTGCTCGCTGTATAAGTTGCTCGCTGTAATAAGAGCACGCAAATAATAGTTGCGGGTCAACTAAATACAGTGCAAGATGAATGCTTCAACCAAAAAATTTGTGGCATAGGCGGCTGGCGCATGTTAGTGAGAAATGGTTGAATATGTTGGCTAAGAAGTCCCTCATACCATTAGCCAAAGGTAAAACAAACCCCTGTGATTATTATTTATTTGGGAGGCAACATCGGGTCTCATTTTTGAAAAGCTCTAGAAGGAGAGACACCAAGTTGGAGTTGGTACACTCTGATGTATATGGTCCCATGGAGGTAGAATCACTTGGAGGAAGTAGAATCACTTGGAGGAAGTAGATATTTTCTAACCTTCATTGATGATTTCTCACGAAAAATATTGATATATTTGTTGCGCACAAAAGACTAAGTAGTATTCAAGCACTTTCAGCAATTCCATGCGATGGTGGAAAGGGAGACTGGAGTGGCATTGAAGTGTTTGCGTACGGATAATGGTGGTGAGTATATATCTAAGGAGTTTAGAGATTATTGTAGTCAGCACGGTATCAGGCATGAAAAAAGACAGTTCCTGGTACGCCTCAACACAATGGCGTTGCTGAACGGATGAATCACACCATTATTGAAAGAGTCAGATCCGTGCTCAAAATGGCCAACTTACCTAAGCCATTTTGGGGAGAAGCTGTCAATACTGCTGTCTACCTAATCAACCGACTACCTTCAGCACCATTGGATTTTCCCAGAGAAAGTCTGGACAGGTAGAAATATTTCTCTGGGCAGGGTTAGAAATATTTCATACTCTCACCTAAAGTATTTGGCTGCAATGCATTTTATGCATGTTCCAAAGGAGCAGAGATCAAAACTTGATGACAAGTCAGTTCCTTGCACTTTTGTTGGTTTATGAGAAAAGAAGAAGTTTGGCTACAGGTTGTGGACCCAGTGAAAAAGAAGTTGTCCGGAGCCGAGACGTAGTATTCCACGAGAATGAGAAATTATGGCAGATACAACTTTGTGGAAGAATCCACAAGTGATGGTGTTAATTGAATATTACACCAGGAAGCATTCCTCAGATGATGCCACAGGAAGGAGGAATGCCAGAATCAGAAACGAAAGAAGAAGAAAGAAGAAGAGCCAGTCGTAGGGGAATCAAAGACAATTGTAAGATGATAAGCCAGTGGATGCAGAGGGTGTTGAGGCAGGGGAAGCCAGAGAACGCCCATTCCACGCAGAAGGAGTTGAACTCAGTTTAAGAAGGTCAACCAGAGAGCGCCAACCGCATCTACCAAAGGTCCCTAGTTCGATTACATTTTGATTGCTGAATGAGGGGGAGCCCAGAAGAGCTTCCAAGATGTGTAATCTTGCAAGATAGAAGATTGGCTGGACAAAGGCATGCCCAAGAAAAGAGATGAATTCTTTGAAAAAGAATGACACGTATGAGGCTGGTGAAAACTTCCCAAAAGGAAGAGAACACTCCAAGAATAATGGGTGTACAACTGAGAAAAATGATGGCAACCTAGTGAAGGAATACAAAAGCTCGATTGGTCGTCAAAGGCTATTACTCAAAAGAAAGGTATTGAACTTTGATGAAGATTTTTTCACCAGTTGTGAAAATGAGTTCTTATTCGAGTTGTGCTAGGTCTAGTAAGCTAGTTTTAATCTTGAGTTAGAGCTGCCTTGATGGTAAAAGACCGCAATTCTTGCATGGGGATGCTAAGAGGAAGAAATCCTATATAGAAAAACAACCAGAAAGGGGTTTTCAAGGTCAAGGGAAAAAGAGGACATGGTTGTCGCTTGAAAAGAAGAGCTGTACGGGTTGGAAACAAAGGCACCGCAATCAGTGGTATAAAAAGTTTGATTCGTTTCATGGTGAATCAAGGAATACAAAAAGGAACAGATGAAAAGATCCTTGTATATATGTTTTCAAAAGTTTGTTTTTTTTTATTCCCTGATGGTAAATTTATCATCTCTTCTCTTATATGTTTGATGATATGGCTAATCGTTGGACCAGATGCACAAATATGAATTAGGCAAGTTAAAGAGAGATTTGTCCCAAAGCAATTTGACATTGAAAGGATTTGGGAATCGGCAAGGCAAATTCTCGGAATGGAGATTATCCGAGACCAGAAAAGTCCTGCAGGTTTATTGGGTTATCGCAGGAAAAATATATTGAATGAAGTTTCTAGAGAGGTTCAATATGAAGAATGCTAAACCAGTTTAGCACTCCGCTTGCCACTCCACTTCAGTTGAGTAAGAAAAATCCTCTCACAACAAGGAAAGAAAAAAGGAGATATGTCAAATGTTCCATATTCTTCAGCGGTCGGCAAGTTTGATGTACGCAATGGTGTGGTACGAGCCAGATATCGCTCATGCAGTTGGCAGTTGTGAGCCGATTTCTGTCCAAATCCCTAGAAGACACATTGGGAAAGGCAGTTATAGTGGATTTTCAAGAATACTTGAGAGGAAAACTTGCAAAGTTATGTTTTAACTTTTGAG